GGACGCAGTCCTGTGCCACGTGCTCTAGGTGACCCTGCGTGTGCAGGGGGGTTGGACTAGATGACCTCTAGACGTCCCTTCCAACCTTAAGCATTCTATGATTCTATGATTCACTTCCTGAGTGTAATTTAATTAATAACTAAGAGTGTGTGGGATAGCCAGGTGTGCTTTTTAGAGTTGTGCTTGTAGCACTTCTACTGGAACAAATAGATCCTAACAAAGTATAATTAGGAGTTGAAGTTCTCAAACTGCTTTAGCCCAAAAGAGCCAGGAGATGAAGAGTGCAGCAGACAGAAGACTAGGACATCCAGGGCTGAACTTCCCTTTACCTGGCTTCATGCAGGCTGGAACAGCTGCCTGGAAGTTGTATCTTTGATACAATGGTAACAAAAACATAGAGTTGTTAGAGTGCCCTTCTCTCAAGGGAGAGAGCCAGCAGTTACCTCCTACCAGCACAGGGCACTGGAATCCACATGAGATGGTTTGGGATTTTATTTTATTAATGGCAACTTATGATTTCAGTCTTGGCTTTGGTTTCTCCTATCTCACTTGTGACTTTCATTTGAGATTTCATGTTCTGCTGTGTCTCTGCTGCCCACTGGAAGCAGGCAGCAGGCAGCTCTCCTTTAATTCAGTAGCTGCTTATTAAAGGAGACAGGGAAAATAGAGACGTTGGCACTTTAGCCTTGGCCCATATACTTATTTCCTTTATTAAGGCTGCCTGCTTGCCAGTCTGTGACCAGGTAGATGACTCAAACTCAATTGCAAAACAACTTGAAAATGTTTGTTTTCTTAAGCTCTACCTGAACTATTTTTAGGATTTTTTTTTATTTCCTTTAAAAAAAAAAAAGAGAAGTTGCGAAAGAGTTCAATTGAAAATGAATGGAAGCTGGACTTGATTCCTTGCCTTCAACATTGTTTGGTATCAAGGCAGAGAATTCTATTCTCTTCTTTGCTGTTTGTTTTGTTCTGGATGAAATTTGAGAACTTCACCCATTACAGAGCCACACAGTGCTCTGGTAGTCACTGTGTGTGCAGCTTTTTAATAAAGCACAGACTAGTGGTAGAACACCAGCAGCATATGCTTGCGTAACCTACTTTTTGTCTTCTGAGACTGCTGGTAGTGCAAAGTTTGACATTTCACAGATACCAGTTGCAGCAGGTCACTGAAATGTGGCATTTTTACAGGCGACATCTTCTTGGTGCGTGGAGGGATGCGTGCGGTGGAGTTCAAAGTGGTGGAGACAGATCCGAGTCCTTACTGCATAGTGGCTCCGGACACTGTGATCCACTGCGAGGGAGAGCCCATCAAGCGAGAGGTGAGCGAATCCTGCTGTGCAGCTCCCCACCAAATCCACTTCATCCCCCAAAAATGCCTGTTTCTGTGATAGCCCTGGAGAGGGCAGTGTTTGCAGTTCCTGGTTTGGCGTTTTGCTTGTTGAATGTGATGATTAGAAACCTTTGGTTTCAGGATATGAGCTCTTGAAGTTAGGTGGAGAAGCGTGGTTCCACTGTCCTGATCTCAGGTGCTGAGATAATATTAATGCTTAGGTTTTCTGAGGTGATGTGATGGTTTGCCCACAGCAGGTTTTGCATCTGCTTTGAGATAGCTGATGATGGACTTGGATGCATCTTTTAATTCAGAAATTCCCTTCCGCCATAATAATAAGAATTTGTGGTGCTACTAAGTTTCAATCCTTCAGAAAAGAAAGTGATTTTTCAAGGGAAATTCCCATTAGATACAAGAGAAAAATATTTTCATTGAAGGGTTGTCAAACCCTGGAGTAGGGTCTGGAGAGAGCAGCTTTTGGCCTTGGTGACATCGGACAGTTCCAGGTTTGTAGGGCTTGGACAGAAATCCCTGAGGTCCCTCCGTAGGTGATTTTATGATTTTAGTGTGGCCTAATAGTTTGCAGTAGATATTCTATAATTCTGTGATTTGCAAAGCTGTGAAATCAATGGGTGTCGTAGAGCTGTTTTGGGAATATTAGTTAAAGTTCGGTTTTATGTGTGTGCTTGGATCTTAATCTTAGCTACTGTATTCAAGAAGAAAACACTGTGAATGAGAACTGTATGATAGCTAGGACCATTTGAGCAGTTAGACTGAAGTATTCTTATTCCTTAAACTATAACTGATAATTCCTATTGAGCTTCACTGCACATTTTTAACTTTGTTAGGAGTGTTGAGGGTCACACAGCTTGTCTTGGACTAATAGCTCTAGGGAACAGGCCTCTCGGCACACACCATCATTAAGGAGGGTGGGCTTCATTCAGTCTTGTAAAAGCCTGGAGCTGGATGCATGCCACTAGTCCCCACTGTATGTCTGGGAAAACAGAGTTAAGAGTGCTGAATACTGCAGGAAGACTCAAAAATTGGAGTTGCAGAGTAGCAAGTAAATGGTAAAAGGCAAAACTTATGGCTTATCCCCTTTCTAAACCAACACTTTGTAATTCTGCGCTACTCTCTAGAGATTCCAGGCTTCTGTGTTCTGGGAGGGATTATTGTTGTTTCCCTCAAATATTTAATATGTTTCCTTCCTGGTAGGATGAGGAAGAGTCACTGAACGAAGTGGGCTACGATGACATTGGTGGCTGCCGGAAGCAGCTGGCTCAGATCAAAGAGATGGTGGAGCTTCCCCTGCGACACCCTGCGCTTTTCAAGGCGATAGGGGTGAAGGTAAAGTGTCCTGTGGGCACCCTGTGAGTGAGTCGTCTGGCCTTTGCTCGAGGCTGTTGGTGTAGGAGGATTATGAGGTAATGGGAGGATAGGAATAAATAACCCATGATTATTTTTCCCCCCCTTCCCTTTTTTTTTTTTCTGATATTAAGAAGCTATTGCCTTTAATGCTTTAGACACGGAACAAAATGCTAGAAATGTGTGAAGCAGAGTGATGCTTTGAATCAGCACTGTCAGTTATTGGCAAGCTGCTTGTTTCTGTGTCATGCAAACTGGGAAGGATGTTGATAGTAATACTGGAATGGCAGCTGTTACAGGAGTTGACATCAGAATTTTGGGTTTGCCTTATCAAACACTCTCCAGTTTCACTGTGAAGCTACTTACACACTCAGATATTAATTCACCTCCTAAATCCCTTGGCTTTGTCCTCAGCCTCCCCGTGGGATTCTGCTGTACGGACCTCCTGGCACTGGTAAAACACTGATTGCCCGAGCAGTGGCCAACGAAACTGGGGCTTTTTTCTTCCTGATTAACGGTAAGTTTTGTGGCTTTTTTTGGCCACGAATCTTTGGCTAAATTTGCTTTGGACTTATCCATGTAGCTCATGATAATGAATGGAGCTGATAAGACTTTAAGACATGCTGTCTCTTTGAGGCACCTTTGTAATGCAGTGACCTGGAGTCTGTCTGCCTGGGTGTTGTAGGGAGAGTTAGGACTGAATTGGTGAAATTATTCTATGTATATGGGTGAAGAACCCTCTTCTATAACTACCAGCTTGTTTCATTCGCACGAGGTGATGGTCTCTACTGGAGTTTATTTCCCTCAAATAAAGCACAAGAGCTGCTCTGCTTCTCCTAATATTGATTGGGAGGAACCTCCCTCAAAGCTGTAATGAGTGCCTTGGTGCTAGTTGCAAGTGAGGGAACCTTGTATCACCGTTGCAGAAAATAAGATAAATGCTGGGTTATGGCTAGTAAGGACCAGATTCCAAATACTCCTCGCTGCTTTTCTGTCTTCTTTTATAGTCAGTGCTGAAATGATTTTGCTGCAGTCAGGATATACCTACACTTTCTTTCTAATTTCAGTTACATAGGCCTCTGTTTCGATTGTATAGACCTGCTGGGGCGAAAGCAGAGGAGTGTATTACACATTGCAGGGGTGATCTCAAGGTGCAAGATGCAAGTGGGCTGTTTTTAAGCGTATGCAGTCCTTGAAATATGCTTCCTAAGTATGCAGAAGGGACCACTGCATGCTAACGAGCCAGCCTTTTCTTTAGAGACTTGCCCTTCTGTGATATAATAAAAATAATTATGTCAGAATTAATGATGTATTCCTTATCTGCTAGTCTCAAACCTGGAGCCACAGGCAGTGTTGTAGCACAGGGCTAGGATGAATTGGTGAGTTACTTTAATGCAAGACTCTCAGGACAGGCCTGCTGCAGTGGTTCTGCAGCTAGCTGAAGTCAGCTGCAGTCATCTGTGCTTTCTTGAGGGTCAGATTATTTTTCTTGGATCTTTTAGAAGATACTTTTTTTTCATTACCGCTCCTATCATCATGGGAGAAAAAATCTGTAAGTCTGCACTTGTGTTCAGCATTTGTAGGAGATCTCAGGAGCTGTTTCCCTTCCTTTCGTGTCTGATATGTTCGTAGAGGATCCCTTTTGTTATTCTCTGAGGAAAAAAACTTTTTAAAATACTTGTAAATATTGATAGACTGTTATAGAGGGGGAATATATACCCACATAGTGCAAGTTAGAAACAAGGTCAGTGTCTTGCAGCTTTTTCCTTCCCAAAAGTTCATCACTATGAACTTGGTTGCTTCTCTTGAAAGCCAGGACAAGCATTAACGGTGTGTGGTGGCATTGCAGAGGAGCTCACTTCAGTGTGAAACAGAGTAGGGAAAAAGGCATCTAAAGGTAGGTCACTGACTAGCACTGAATTCTGATGGAATAAATGAGAACACCAGAATGATTTTAATTCATCCTATCCTTACCTGTACAGATGCTGTTTTAGTGAGAATTTGCTTGTTGGTGTTTGCTTTGACTTAAGATATAGACACTCCCATGTGCTCTTTTTACTTAAAAAAAAAAAAAAATAATAATATGCAGCTGTATGCTGAATTCATGCTCTACTTTGCAGGTCCTGAGATCATGAGCAAACTGGCTGGTGAGTCCGAGAGCAACCTGAGGAAAGCCTTTGAAGATTGAAAAAAGCAAAAAAGAATGCCCCTGCCATTATCTTCATTGATGAACTGGATGCCATTGCTCCAAAGAGAGAGAAGGTAAAGAAAGTGCTGTGGCCTTAGGTCCTTTTTGGGAATGGCTGATGTGGACCTCAGCCTTTGAGCATAAGGATAAAGCAGAGTTTATCTTAGCCGTTCAGTCAGACTTGGGCAGACTCAGCACCTGGGGTGATGTAGATCAGTATGTTTCACGATAGCTTGCGGTTGTGACATCCATCTGTTGTGGTGTGGTGATAGCTGTTGTGCTGTGCTGTAGTTCTACTGTTGCTTTGCCTCTCCACAGACACATGGAGAAGTGGAACGTCGCATAGTGTCCCAGCTGTTGACTCTAATGGATGGATTGAAACAGAGGGCGCATGTGATTGTCATGGCAGCTACCAACAGACCTAACAGCATTGACCCAGCACTCAGGCGATTTGGTAACCAGAATTACTGTCTTTTGTGTGTATTTGATGCTTTCTTACAGGTTATGCTGGGGGCCTTGAAAACATTCAGCAGAAATTAATGTTAAACAGCTTCATACACTATTGACTTGTCTTTCCACAGCTTGTTTGGAGTTTATTTCTAGACTTTCAGAGACTTTCAGCCTTCGGTGTTAATTTCTGTGCTTTATTAAGTCAGTTCTTGTAGAAATAGTGAAATACTTTGACATCAAACAGTGTGCTCGCATCTGTTGCATGAGGCTGTCCAAGACGCACTGAAGGAGTAACTGGCTACCTAATGGGTATTTATGCCTCAAGTTGCAGTGGGCTCTGAAGTGTCCAACTTCTCAAACTATATTTCTCAGACATAAAAGTAACTTGAGGTCCAGGTTTTCAGACCATCACAATGTGAGTGAATGTGTGAGCAGTTTATAAAGAGTAAAAGAGCAGACCAGTCAAATGGCTTGCTAGTTAAATATATAACTAGTCATTTGACCATTTGAAAACACAAATATGACTAGAGGCAAATGGCAGGTACTGTACATAATATTGCTGTAACACATAGGCTTCCTTCCCTCCCCCCAATTATTGGAGCTGTTTGTGCTTTTTGCCACTTTATACAGTCCTCTGAGCAGTACCAAAGTTCTGAAAAATCTGTGTCTCAGTATTTGCAGACACTTAATTGTGCTGAAGATGAAAAGGTGGAAATGAACAAAAAATGTCTCATGGTATGTTGGTTGTGGGAAGCTAATTTTCTCATAAATGAGACTTGAAAACAATTACTGAACCAATGACTCTGTGTTTTGTACTCTTGGGCTCTAGTTAAGCCCATAGTCTCAGTTTTCCTAAGTGTCTAAGTACTTTCTTCCTTTTCTGATCTCACTTTGCTAATTTGCTGATACACACTGCAGAGAAACTCAAATCTCTGTCATTTTCTGGATTTATAATGTCTGTGATTTGTCATTATCTGGTTCAGCAGCACAAAGGCAGCAACTGCAGCCCCTTTAGTTCAGAGTCAGCAGCTTAACATGTGCTTAATGTGTATTTAATGTGTGCTTAATTTGTCTTCCCAGGTCGTTTTGACAGAGAGGTAGATATTGGTATCCCAGATGCCACTGGGCGCCTGGAGATCCTGCAGATCCACACAAAAAATATGAAACTGGCTGATGATGTGGACCTGGAACAGGTGAGTAACTTGCAGTTGGGAAAGTTTGTCCAGCAAACAGAAGCTCCTTATGCTGTGTTTTGTAGTAGAAGTGTTATGCTTTAATCGTGGAAAAGAAGCAGTTCGTTTAAGAGGGCATGAAACTGGTGAACGTGTGGTTTCTGGGCTCCCTTCAACCAGTTTAAGTCACCAAAAGTCCTCATGCACTGGTTAAAATAGCATTTCTCAGTGAAACAAGCATCTGTCTAGCCTGGAAGTGCCTTGGCACTGCCTTTCTGGGTTTTTTTTGCTTGTCTTCTCATTAATAAATAAATAAAAAGCAAGTCTGAAAAAAGCTACAGAGTTAGGTGCGCATCATGGTGAGACTGGAGCACACATAAAGTGGACGATTCCTGTCATCTCTGTCCTGAATTAAGTTCTTCAGTCCTCCGGGGATAGTCTTTCTGTACCCTGTGTGAATTCCACTTGCAGCTTTGTTCTCGGATACAACAGAGGTGTCTCTGCTCGTAAATGGGTGGTAGCATTTGTCTTTAATCAGAGCACTGATCTTCCTGTCCCCCAGGGTTTATTATACCCTTGAGTGAGTGACCAGAAGACGAGTTGCCCTTGCAGATCGCTTGTGTCCCTGTGAATCATGGCTGATGCTCTGCTTTCAGGTGGCAAATGAGACCCATGGCCATGTTGGTGCTGACTTGGCTGCTCTTTGCTCAGAAGCTGCTCTTCAGGCTATCAGAAAGAAGATGGATCTCATAGACCTAGAAGATGAAACCATTGACGCCGAGGTGATGAACTCTTTGGCTGTGACCATGGATGACTTCAGGGTAAGGAAGGAGAGCTGCTGTTTTTTAGGTGTAATGCCCAATTGCATGTCTGGAACACAGCACCACAGCATGTCAGAACTCATGTAATGCCTTCTCTTCCCATGGTAGTGGGCTCTGAGCCAGAGCAATCCTTCTGCTCTTCGGGAGACTGTGGTGGAGGTGCCCCAGGTTACTTGGGAAGATATTGGTGGTCTAGAAGATGTAAAGAGAGAACTCCAGGAGCTTGTACAGGTGAGAGCTTCTCACACATCTTTGCCCAATTAGGCTATAATAATAAAAAGCAGAACCTTTTAAGATTCCTGTTTGGGTTAGAAATAGGGTAATTTCAGAGTTCTGATGGTATTTGCTGGCCATGGAGTGGAAATTCCCTGGTGTCTGCTCTCAGTGAATAGGGCAGGGTGCCGGTGCAGGAAGGTAACGTCCAGCTGTTGTCAGTTGGATCTGCACTGACCTCCTTCACAGGCGTTCCACTACACGCAGGAGTGGTTGGAACAGTGCTCTTGCTGCTTTGCATGGAGCCCATCAGTGGGGACACTGCAAAGAGTTCTGTTAAGTAGTTTTAGAAAGTGAATGCAGCTTTTTCTAGAGACCCTGTGAAGGGCTTTCCATCAGTGTTAACACGAGTGAGAAGCATTTGGGAAGCCTTCCATGAAGGGAGAGGCTGGGGCATACTGTCAAGAATGATTTGCTTAAAGTTTCAGTTACTGCTGTAGAAACACCCTATCTATGAATAAAATAATCTCTTCTTTCTTAGTCAGTCCAATTTTCTGGTATTAAAACTATCACCTAGCTCTGACCTTGTTGCTGGGGATACGTGCCCACCTCAAAGACACCTTGGCTGTCTCTGGGGAGCAGAGCTGAATAGATGAGATAATTAGCTGTTCCCTTTCCCTTCTGCAGGGTAGAGTGAAGCTGCTCAGCAGGGGTTAAGTGTGCTAGGAAACTACTGAAAATGATAGTTGGTAAATTGAATGTTTAAAGCAGCTTTACAATTCACCTGTGGTGCTTTTCAAGGCAGTACTCATTTGAGTACTACAGTAGCTCCCAGAGGCAGAATTTTGTATTTAACCCATCAGAAATCTTGGGCATTTGTTCGGGTACAGGGCAAGGTGCAATTATTTTCGGCTCATTCCAAGACCCTTCTTTCTTTCAGTATCCTGTGGAGCACCCAGACAAGTTCCTCAAATTTGGCATGACTCCATCCAAAGGGGTTCTGTTCTATGGGCCCCCTGGCTGTGGGAAGACACTGCTGGCCAAAGCCATTGCCAATGAATGCCAGGCAAACTTCATTTCCATCAAGGGGCCGGAGCTGCTCACCATGTGGTTTGGCGAGTCCGAAGCCAACGTGCGCGAGATCTTTGACAAGGTGAGCGCCCTTTCTGCTCCCCGTGCTCTGTTTGTGCCCATATGCCCCAGAACATGACTCTGCTGAGACTAACTTACTGGCCTTGTTCCTGTTTGTTGTCTCTAGTGTTTCCTTATCTCTTCTGTGACTGCACACTGCTTTCCTGATGTTAAGAAATTAATCCTTTTGGCAACATAACTCTAAAAAGTTTTCTTCCTGCGACTTTTTGCATTGTTGTTAAATATTTAAGTGTTTTAGCAGTGGGGTGAGATTAGGATGGGGCAGCTATCCTCCAAATCCCTGAAAATGTGTCCTGAAACCTCATGAGCCATCACCTTTTGCAGACCTGCAAAATGTCCTAAAAATTATTGTACTGCAATAAACTTGTCTTGAGGAGGAGTGCACTCCCACTGCCTGCTCCTGTTCCAGAAGGTACCTGTGTGGATCAGCTTGGGAATCTTTATTCTTATGACCAGAAAAGATGCTATGAGAGGAAAGTTGGAAGGAGAAAGAATAATTTGTTTGGAAGGGAGCTTCGGAGGCCATCCAGTCCCACTGTTTGGCCAGAGCTGGGATAACCTGGAAGTTAGGTCAGGATCTTGTATAGTTTAGTTTTGAGCATGTGCTAAGGATGGAGAATCCTCTACCTCTTTTGACTGGTGTACATGTGTTTGAGATTCTTCTTTGTGAAAAATTCTTTATTTCTGTATTTCTAACTGGAATTTCCCTTGCAGTAGTTTGTGCCAGTTGCATCTCATCCTCTCACTGCACCTGGAAGAAGAATCTGGCTCCCTCTTTCCCATAACCACCCATTAGGTAGTTGAAGGCAGTGACTGGATCCCCCCTCGCTTTTGATGTGTCTGTCTTGATCACTGATACTTGACTGCTTAAACAGCCAACTGACAGCCCTAGATCTTGCAGGGGCAGCTCTGGTCCAGGCAAAGTGGCTTTGGCTCTGCCTCTAGGTGCTGGAGTTACTACCTTTCTGTTTGGTTCACAGTGCTCCCCGTTTTGGGGATACACAGGACTTTGTAAGGCAGGATGTTATTCCAGAGCAGCTTCTCCAAACTGTCCATGAGGTAGCAGCACTCTAGTACTCCTTGGAGCTGCTTTTATAGCAGGCTTAGTGTGAGATGGGTGTCCTTCTCATTTGGTGGTACTTCTGTGCAGGAATTGTGCGTCTTTGCTCCTTGCAGGCTCGCCAAGCTGCCCCTTGTGTGCTCTTCTTCGATGAGCTGGACTCCATTGCAAAGGCCCGAGGTGGGAACATCGGAGATGGCGGCGGTGCTGCAGACCGTGTCATTAACCAGATTCTGACAGAGATGGATGGCATGTCCACCAAGAAGAACGTCTTCATCATCGGTGCCACCAACAGGCCGGACATCATTGACCCGGCCATCCTGCGCCCCGGCCGCCTGGATCAGCTCATCTACATCCCCCTGCCTGACGAGAAGTCCCGGGTGGCTATTCTGAAAGCCAACCTGAGGAAATCACCGGTTGCCAAGGTAGGAGCTGTGCCCTGGCTGTGGTTGACTTGAGCTTGGTGCGTGTTTCAAATGCTCCCCACAAGCCTGTGACAAAGCAAAGGGCTGGTGATCAATCCACGCAGTACAGAGCTGGGAATCTTTCAGCCTGAATGATGGAAGTGAAGAGATGGGAGGGAGGCTTGAGCTGTAAATCTGGATAGTGGTGAAACCGGGTGCCAGTGACACACAGTTACTGTGTGTGCCCACACATGAAGTAGCACAGCAAGTCTTAATCATGTAGTAGAGTTCTCCTGGTGCGGGAACCGGAAAGCCTTGAACTGGTGTGTTATGGAAGATTCTTGTACTTTAAAATAAAAGTAGAGGTTGAAAGCAGGGAAGGAAAATAGAAGCTGAAGAGAAATCATCACCCTAAATAGGTAATAATAGGAGCTTTATCACGGGCCAGAGCCATGTCCCTTTCCTGGGGAACAGATGAGAACACATCTGACAGTGCTGTTAATCAGAGAAGAGCAGAATGTCAGGCCAGAGCTCAGGCTCTTTTATGTCACACTTACCTTTTCAGGCACTGTCAGGGAGGAAAGCTTGAAAGGAGGTCATGGCACTAGTGCATCGGTTGAAGGAGGAGGGTTGTTGGTCCTGTTTCTGTGTTGTGTCCCTTCGTCCACACGCCTGTGCCCTGTGCTTCCCTCTGAGGTGTTGCTGCTTGGGGTGGCAGAAGGACCTCTCGCTGGTGGTACAAAGTGCGCCTGCAGGTACCTCCTGAGCTAGCGACTCCGGGGCGCTAGAGCCTGCCGCTGTTTCCCTTGGCACGTGGGTGCGTAGCACCCTGAGCCCAGCTCGCTTCCCCTTGAACCCGAGCAGTGCAGAGGCACTCGTGGCTGTTAACGGAGTCTTCTTGAACACGTGAGGAGTGTGGCCTGCTGCTGTGTGGAGTGACAAGAGCCTTCAAAGCTCATTTTCTAAAATAGGGCGGCATTAAGGTGGTACCTTGGTAGCACGGGGACCTAAAGGCACCTCTTTGTCACCTGGGAATGTAAGGTAAAAAGGACAAACCTCCTGGATTTTATTTTTTCCCTAGGATGTCGACCTGGATTTCCTAGCTAAGATGACCAACGGCTTCTCAGGAGCTGACCTGACAGAGATTTGCCAGCGTGCCTGCAAACTGGCCATCCGCGAGTCCATCGAGAGCGAGATCCGGCGAGAGCGCGAGAGGCAAACCAACCCTTCTGCCATGGTGAGTGCAGCTCCGCGAGCCCGCAGGGGCAGCCACCCCCGTGCCAGCAGGCTCCGAGGGGGCGCCTGGCACAGAGCACTGAGCTGCAGCACTTGGGCCTCCTCTGTGGAGGGCCCGCTCGGGTGCCTCGTTGTTGGCCTCGCTCAGAAGGAGCAGCGGCTCCTTCAGCGGCTGTGACGCAGTGTGCGCTGCAGCGTCCTGCCCATTTGCGCTTTGCGCGCCGCGCCGTCAGCGACAACGACATCAGGAAATACGAGATGTTTGCACAGCCCCTTCAGCAGAGCCGTGGCTTCGGCAGCTTCAGGTAGCCGGGCGGGATGGAGAGAGGGCAGCCTGGCTCGGCCTGGAGAGCAGCGTGTGGAGGGCAGTTTCCCAGCTGGATGCTGCGGGGCAGTCGCCTCTCCCATCGCTTTTCCCCTTCTCGTTGCCCCGAGCTGTGCTGCAGGCCACTCGTGGCCTTCAGGAGCACTAACGGAGCAGCCACCAGTGTTGAGGAGCCCTTTCCCTTTAATCACGTGGCAGCGATGCAAACCTTTAGCGTGACCTGCCCAATCCCCCTAGTCTGCCCTAGCGGGTGCCTGAGTGCCGGTGGGGAGGGAGGGAAGCGCGCCGAGCTGCGAGGAGGCGTCTGAACAGCATCTCTTCTCTCCCCCTCTGCACTGCAGGTTCCCATCGGGTAACCAGGGAGGCGCCGGTCCCAGCCAAGGCACGGGAGGTGGCAGCGGGGGCAACGTATACAGTGAAGACAACGATGACGATCTCTACGGTTAACTCGCTGTCCTTGGTGGACCAAACTCCAAATCAGGCCACGTTGTACAGGGAAAATTCGATGTTCAGTGGACTCTCAGTTTCTTCATTCCTCAGTCAGAACCAGTGTAGCTGCGTGTCAGACTTTGTACAGGGAATGTTTTCTGCAAACACAAATCCACACCGATGTTCAGTTGGGAGGCAGACAGTGCATTAACCAGGAGGGAAACCGACTTAACTTCTGAGAAATTTCTGTTCTAGTTTATGTGGCAGAATCAGCAGCTTTAGCAAAGGGTACAACGCTAGCCTGTATAAAAAACCCCCACAAAAATAATAAAAAAATAATAAAAATCCCACAAAACTCTAGCCAGGCCCTGGCCGTTCCTTTGTGAAAACTCTCTGGTTAATGAGACTGTTCTTCATTCTTAGGTTTTTAGGTTCATGTTAACCCAAGAAAGGTACTGGCTGGGCAGCCTGTTTCCCCTCCTGTACTTGGCAGCAGGTCCCAGAGAGGAGAGCACTGCTGCCTGGGGCAGGTACCTCGTGATCCTTCTCCAACAGAGCCATGAGCTGCCCTGTCTCCTGCCTCTTTGGCTGCTGCGGAGCAGCGTAGCCCGAATTCCTCCGTGCCCTTTGAGCCTGGTGCCCTCCCCAGGGGGCTGTTGGACTCCTGCAGGTGGGTACCCTACTCCAGCAACGGCAGTTTCTTCTATCCTGCCTGAGGACAGAGCATGAGGGTGCTGGGGCTGCGCCTGGCTCCGCT